GAAAACTCCAAAGCATATCTATTGAAGGGACCTCCTAGCTCTCACAGTTGAGCAAATAACTGGCCCTTGCTAAATGCCTTAGCCATGAATAACCAGCTCTCCCCCACTTCGGGTACAAACACTCACAAAATGATGCTCACAATCGATCATAACCCCATTCTTGTTGGGCCAATCCATACCCACAATAACCTTTGTCCCTCACGGAGGAATAATGACTATATCTATTAGATACCTCTCACGGAATAACTCGAGAACACAACCGCGATGAACTCTCGGAGAACTCATTGAATGGTCGTCAACAATATCCACCTCCAAAGGGTAATGCAAGGCTCCCAGCGCATCACTAAACTTCTTTCTAAGCGCAAGAGACACAAAAGATCGATTAGCACCCGAATCGAAGAGAATATGAGCAGTCACACCATTAACTTGAAACATCCCTAATTATGAAAAAAATAAACATAAGCAAAGTTAATGACAACGGGAAAGATACAATAGGAATACATATTAGTGACAACATCTAGCGCAGATCAAGCCTCCTCGGTCGTCAACTGAAACACCTGACTCCTCACCACTGGCGCCTCCGCCTTGCCCTGGCGGCCATCTGTGATCCTAAACATAGCTAGAACAGGTGGCCACTCCACCCCTCCTGATAACCTTGGACAGCTGGCCTTCTTGTGGACTATCTAATTGCAATGAAAGCAAATCATATCCGATCCCTGAGGAAAATCCCGACTAACATGACCGGTCTTTCCGCACCTGTAGAAGCCCAAATCCACTGAGCGATAGACTTTATCATGTGATTTACCGCACTTGCCACAACGGCAATGACCATGTTGGCCTCTCAGTCGCGATTCAGAAGTCTTAGGCCTCTTCTATGGGCCTTCTGATTTCTGCACCTGAGTTGGCTTCCACTTTGTCACATGCTCCAACTAAATCTTCCGCTCTCAGGCTCTGTTAATCATATCCTTTAAGGTCCGACACTCTGAGAAGCTAACAAACTCCCTAATTTCATCCCTCAGCATATCATGATATCTTGTCTTCTTCATCTCCTCATCTTCCATATACTACGAAACCAGTAAGGCCATCTCTCTGAACATCGTGGTGATCTCCGCCACAGTCTCAGTTATCTGGTGAAGGTCCTGGAACTTCCTTACCAACTATTGCACCTCGATAGCAGGTGAAAACTTTGTTTAGAATCTCGTAACAAAATCAGGCCAGGTCATGGCCTTAACGACCTCTGCTCCTAATCCATGACCAACCTCCTCCCACCAGTTGTGAGCTCGATTTCTCATAAGGCAATATGCAAACCTCACCCTCAATCTCTTAGGGCAAAAACTCATCCGCCGAGCGCTCTAGTCCACCACCTATTGGAAATATGGCCCTTCTTCCCAAAGAACTATGGAGCTCCACAAGCCTTAAACTCTCAAAAGCTAAAAGGTCATGCCCCAAACAGACCAGATGTAATCTCTTCACGAAAGGCCCCCAGTCGCTTATCCAATATCTCCATTATCCCCTCATTGATGGTACCGAATATCACATGATTCACATCCAATATGATGCGCGTGATCTCAGACGTGATAAACCTGCGCATCCTCTCGTCAATTGGTTCAACATCAACGCCTGATTCAGAACCAGAACCAGAACCTCAAGTAACCACCACCATACTGAAAGGTAACAATACAAAAGATCAGAACATATCCAAAAAATCCCTCATGCTAAAAGATCCCTAGAGTTTTCATGACTCTCTATGATTTGAGTACAGATCCTGTGCTTCCATTAGTACAGGACCAATACTAACTTCCACACCTATCTGTACTTTCCTCAAGAATCATCCCTAATCCTCTACGTCACTCCACTACGGCGAATTTCATGAGCCCTATGCTACATAGTGTACAAATCTTACTACAACACTTCCTAGGCTCTCCTAGGAATACTCATATCACTTGCTTCTATATTACTCCACTACGGCGAATTTCATGAGCCCTATGCTATATAATCCTGATGGTGTACAATTCTAAAACATATAGCATTTAACATTGTTAATCTAGACTCCAAGTAGCACATAACAAACAATTCCCAAGGTTATAAGGCATCATAGATATCAGGAAATTCTATCATGCAATTCCTGAAGGGATCCTTAGCCATATTCTAACACAAAAATCACATAATAGAACACTAATGTATAACATCCATGTATGGGTATTTGGGAATCACTTACTTGAGCTCGGATGATTGCACACATCGCACCCCTTTCATTTCCAAGTAATGTAAAACGTATTCTCAACAATCAGAGTGAATCAAATAACAAGTGCATAACAATACTCAGGGGATGATATGTGTTGTGATATGTCACCGGCTTGACTCCATCTTTCCGAGGGGTAGAAATGAAGATCCTGAGAATCACAACAAAGAAAATAGGACCGTCAGTTGTCTGGGAGGTTGCCCCGGAACGAGGCTCTGACGATCAAGTAAGTGAGAATCTGAGAAAGAGTTGGTTTAAAGCGTAAAGTGAGTGCTAAAGGGTTTTAGATCTTGGCCCTTCTCTTGGGGGAGAAGGGTGCCTTTTATACCTGTGGCAAATGGGGAACAGATCCCAAACAGTACTTTCTGCTTTTTCAGGTTCTGTCAGAACCAGGTGAACTCTGATTAGTGAACCGTGTTCCGCAAGAGGTTGCCTGCCATTGGCATAGGTTTGCCAGGTGTGATGCCCTAGGGACCACACATGTCGCCCTGCGAGTGGGTTGGTACTTTTTGTCTCGACTCTAGCCTTGATGCTTGGGCGCTAAGGAATAAGCACGGGAATGCGAGGGCGAGAGCGAGTGCGAGGACCCGACGTTAGTTTTTCGTCACTCGGATTCATTTGTCAGACTGATGTCTCCGTTCTATTTGACGGATTCCCGATGGGGTTCGTCAACAAGTCCCCCAGGCTAGTACACATCAGTGTTTGCTTAGGGTAGCTGACTAGTTCTAGCTTAGGTGTGGACACGCATCCGATGGGAGCGATTAACGAGGTGTTTCCATCATAATAGAATTGTTTGGCGAAAGAGTGTCGTTTCAGTTTTTCTCTCTTTTCTTCTTTTTGAAATGGTTATAAAGGTCCCCTATTTCTAGGAATGGTTACGTGCTTCTTCTCTCCATAATCTGCCATCTCAACCTTCTTTGTCATTTCTCTTTTCTCCTATATTTTTCCTTTCTGGTTTTCGATGGCTTCCATCAGATCTAGAATTGTCCCTACACCCGAGGAGTTCGAGATCTCGTCGGAGGTATCTACTATTTATCAACCGCCAGTCGGGAAGGTCAGTATTCCGATGGTGATTTTCAAGGTCGGGTTCCGTCTTCCCGTTTCCGACTTCTTCAATGAAGTCATGTGGGAGTATGGTTTTTCTGTTCACGATCTGACCCCAAATGATGTGAACAAGATAGTTGGGTTCGAGTTGGCATGTCAGGCGTTGGGTGTAGTTCCTCATTTTCAAGTGTTCCAGTCTTTCTTTAATTCGTCGACTCATTCAAGCGTTCACACTTTTTCTCAGCACCGCAACACACATTCCTTTATTGTTAACCAGAAAGCACCACGGAAAAACTGGCAGGATCGATAGCTGTGGGTCAACAGTGATTTGGTTGGTGTAAGCTATCCTCGTGTGACCATGGCTTCGAACCGGGCGCCCCATCTGTCGGGTGTCGGTTTATCTGTGGCCCGCGCACTGAGGGAAATTTGTTTTGACGACGAGGACTGGCCGGACTGCATATTCACGACAGTCGGGATGAGTGTTGCTTGGCGTTCGTGTGGGAAGATGCCTCAGTGTTTTGTGAGTAACGGTGGTAAGTGTTACCTTTTCTTCCACCCTCCCCCTCCTCTTTGCTTGTCGTCATGTTTCTCCCTCTTTTTTCTTCATTTTTCATTTTGAAGCGGGTCTTGCGTTGTGGTTGTTGTAGGTGATGAGAAGCTTTTGTCTCTCGAACAAGTATTACAGGGGAATTTTGAGGGTGATCTCCAGTATCACGAGGTTCCCCTGGTGGAGGCGCTACTTGCTCTGGCTACTTTCAGGCCTGCACCCAAATACGAGGCCTCTCCTGCCGTGGTGAGAGCCGAGGTTGCCTCTCCGTCTAAGGGGTCGAGTGTGCCTAGCTTCCAGGTCGTCTCCCATCATTGGTTCGTTGTTGCATATTCTGACCTTGGGGAGGATGTTGGTGGTGATACTATTGGCCGATGCTTACGGTGGAAACGCAACATCGAACCTTTTCTCGCTATGTCACCTATTGTTATCGAGATTGCTAATGGTGATGAGTTGTCAGCGGATGAGGCATTTTGTTCACACCGTCAAGGGAAAAAAAATCATTGTGAGAGGTTGCTCCACCTCACCCTCGGCTTCGGATGACGTCCCGTCAAACATGGGGCTTCCTCTGCGGGCGCCCCTGGTGTGTATCTACCAAGGTGGAACCTTACACCCAGTTATCTTCTCTCAGAACAGGGTCCTGCTAGTGAATGGTGCCATCATGCATTTCCTTCTGCTACCCTGGAGGCCTTCGATGCCCTTTCTTATTCTCATATGGCGGATGATCTTCAGTACACCGCTGTTCAGGTGGCTCCTTATTTGGTGGCGGATGTCGGCCGTCTCCGTTACATGGGGGCTGATTGGGTGGTGTTGGCTCTCATTAAATTTAAGCGCGATGAGCTCGTGGAGAAGGTCCGGCTCCTCGAGGAGGATCGGCGTAAGTTCGATGAACTCTACCTTGTGCTATCTGGGGAGAAAACCATTCCCGAGGCTCAGGTGGCGAGTTTGGATGGGGAGGTCAACTACCTATCTCATTAGGTGCAAGATTTGGCTATGGAGAAAGTGACATTAGTGGAACGTTTGGCGTTGCGAGGCAGTGAGCTCGCAACCAAGGTATCGAGGAGGAAAGTCCTGGAGACTGATTTGTCTTGGGTTCTTCGAAAGGGGGTGGTCCGCATAGTGGACCGTGTTGTTGAGAGCAGTGAGTTTGTGCTCGGGATTTGCCGCATGAAGGTCACGTATGTGGCTGCTGGTGTGGAGAGGGGAAAACAAGTGGTGCTGGTGTCGTCCTCTGGTAGCGGCTCCGGCCCATCCGAACCGGGCGTTGTGGCTCGGTCTACTGACGTCATGCACACTTCCATTAGGTCTTTTGCTGAGACAGACTTCATATCTTATCTCAGACTGGGCGAGCTTTGTCTTGCTGATCTCCACCAATTGTGTTCTGAGGAGGAGGACGTTGTTCCAGACGACGACATTGAGGGTGGCGTGTGAACGCAGTATTGTTAGGGTTGATGTTTTACTGGATGTTTTTTGTACGCTTGTTGTTATTCGTTTTTTGTTTGACACCACAAGATGCTTTCAGTGTTTAATGTTTGTATGTTTTTGAAATGTCATCATGTTTGCCTTTGTTTCGGGGAAGCGTCTCCCTAGAGAGTATTTTGTAGGCCTGGATTTCGGCCCTGTGTCGGGTGACCTACTACCTTCCTTTTGTGGTTGCTTAAGGTGAGCCGAGGTCGTCACCTCGAGGCTCCCTGGACTCGCGTCTGTTAGATTTTTATTTTTAGGGTAAGGTTATGATCTTTCATACCCTTTGAATACGCCTGTTTCGAGAGCTTAGAGGCCTTGTTATTTGGCCGAACCGACGTGTCCCCCGAGGAATCATCTCCTTTCGAGATTTGTGGTTGGATGTTGGAAATTTGGTCCACCTAAACGGTGTGGGTGATCGGCCAGTGATTTCGTTTGGCGAATTCGCTCAACCCTTTTTTTGTTTTTGGTTTTTATATTTACATCTGCGTGCGTATGCGTATATGTTAATGAGTAAAATCGGTCATATTTTCTTGCAAGACTTTACTAATTGGAAAGTTCTTGGAGAAAATATCGAAGGTTTACGTGTTGTCACTTTGACTTGGGTGCAGCCCTGAGGCTAAAAGATGGGGCGACACTGTCCCCCCCCTTTTTGTTGTTGCTATACTATTCGCCAGTTGTTTTATAAGTAAAATTGGAGTAGGTTGCATGCGTTTCATGTCCGGGGTATTGGTCTTCCGTCTTGTGCTTCCAGTGTGTACACTCCGTCTCGGTGCATCTCCACTACTTTGTACATGCCTTCCCAGGTCGCGCTCAGCTTGCTCTGTGGCTCCGAGTGGGTGGCCTCGTTCTTTCTCAGCACCCATTCTCCGATTTTGAAGTTTTTTACTCGCACCTGTTTGTTGTAGAAGTTTTCTGTGTGGGCTTTGTACGCTGCTTGTCACAACTGTGCTGCCTGACGCTTATCATCTAGCATATCCAGGTCTTGCTGTCGCTCTACCTCGTTCGCGTTTGTCTCAAAGTTCGTCACCTGTAGGGATTCGCTCAGAATCTCGAGCAGGAGCACCACTTCCGTGCCGTATGTTATACTGAAGGGTGTTTCTCCAGTTCCTGACCTCTCTGTGGTGCGGTATGACACAACGCCGTTGGTAGCTCTTCAGTCCAGGCCCCCGCTGTTTTCATTAGGTGTTTTTTAAGTCCGTTCACGATGGTCTTATTTGATATTTCAGTTTGTCCGTTCGCCTAGGGGTGCGCGATTGAGGTAAAGCGATGGTGGATTTGCTTCTCCTCGCACCATTTTTTGAAGGGGATACCCTCAAACTGGGTGTCGTTGTCACTTATCAGGACCCTGGGAGTTCCAAACCGATTTAGGATGTTCTTCCACATGAATCTGATCATCTGTTTGCCCGTGATTGTGGCCAAAGGCTCTGCTTCAATCCACTTCGTAAAATAGTCGACTGCGACTAATAGGAACTTTAATCCCCCCAGGGTCATTGAGAATGGTTCCACAATATCGATGCCCCATTGGGGGAAAGGCCATTGACTGCTGATGATGGTCATGGTTGTTGCTGGTAGGTTCTGGAACGGGGTGAATGCTTGGCACTCCAGGCATTTCTTCGTGACTCCCGTCGCGTCCTTGTACACGTTGGGCCAGTATACCCCTAGGCGTAGTATTTTCCCTTTGATCGCTCGCGCCCCCTCATGCGCTCCCGTCTCACCTGAGTGGATTTATTCCAGGAGAGCTTGGCCTTCGTTGCGTGAGATGCATCTGAGCCACGGTGCTAGATACCTCCTTTTGTATAGTTGCACGCCTTTCATCGCGAACTGGAGGGCTTTGATTTTTATCTTCCTGGTCTCTTCTGGGTCATCTGGAAGGATCCCTTGATGCAAGTAATCTAGGTATGGTTTAGTCCAGTCTGGCAATTTTGTCACGACGTCGACTTGCTTGTTGTCGATGCTCCTTTCTCCGAGTACTTCTACCAGCACCTTCTTGGTTAAATGGTCGAAGGATGTTTAGGCCAATTTACTAAGAGCGTCGGCTCTTGTATTCTTCCCCCTGGGTATTTGTTTGATTTCGAAGCTGTCGAGCGAGTGTGCTAGCTGTTGTGTCTTCTCCAGGTATCTTTACATTCTTCGATCTTTGGCTTCGTAAGTGTCATTTACCTGGTTTATTATTAGCAGCAAATCGCTAAACGCTCGAAGGTGTTTCACCCTAACTTCCTGCGCCAAGCGAAGGCTCGCAAGGAGCGCTTCATATTCAGCCTCATTGTTTGAAACTTGAAAATCGAATCTTAGGGCGTATGTTATTTCGTCCCCCCTGGGGTTTTTCAGAATGGGGCCCACGCCCGAACCCTCCTTACTCGCATCACCGTCGGTGTGTAGTTCCCGTGCGTCTTTGCTTGCTTCAGGCTCCAGCGGGTCTGCAGGTAAGGCCTTTGATATTCCCCTAAATACGTCTGGTATTTCTACCAGGAAGTCTGCTAAGGCCTAGGCCTTGATACTAGTTCGCGGCCGGTATTCTATGTCGTGTTCCCCCAGCTCTATTGCCCATTTCGCCAGTCGTACCAAATTTTAGGGTCGCAGTAGGACCTGTTTTATCGGGTGGCTAGTCAGCAATTCGATTTTGTGAGCCTGTAAGCATTGACGTAGGCATCTGGTCGTGTAGATTAGTGTCAGTACTAGTTTTTCCAGGATGGGGTAATTGGTTTCGGGACCTTGCAGTGCCCTGCTCACGAAATGTATTGGCAACTGCTTCTTGTTTCTCTCTACTTCCAGAACCGATAATATGGCTTCATCAGCGACCGCGAGGTATACTTGTAGGGTTTCGCCTGGGAGGGGGCTTGTCATTGTTGGCAACTGATGTAGGGCCCCCTTTAAGCATTGGAAGGTGGTGTCGGCCTCCTTCTTCCATTTGAAGTGGTTCTTGTCGACACACCCTTTCAGAGTTTGGAAGAGCGGTAGGGCTTTTTCTGCTGACTTCGCGACGAACCTGCCTAGTGCGGTTAGCCTCCCGTTGATTTCTTGGACTCCTTTTATACTGTGTGGGATCTTGGAAGCGAGGAATTCTTGGATTTTGACCTGATTTGGCTTGATTCCCTCTTTAGTTATCTGGTATCCTAGGAACTGGCCCTCTTCTACTCCGAAAGTGCATTTTCCCGGCTTAAGCTTCATATGGGCTTGTGTTAGTGTATGGAGGGTCCCTTCCACGTCACGGAGCAATGTTGCTTCACTGTGACATTTAATGACCATGTCCTCGACATAGACCTCTACATTCTTTCTGATCTGTTATATGAAGACTTTATCCATTATACGCTGATATGTTGCCACGACGTTCTTAAGGCTGAATGGCATCTTCTGGTAGCATAACATGCCTCGATCAGTGTCGAAAGCTTTCTTGTCCTCGTCTTCCCGCCGCATCTGGACTTGGTGGTACCCTTTGTAGGTGTCAAGAAAGCATTTGAGTTGGAAACCTTCCAGGGATTCGACCTTTTGGTCGATTTCGAGGAGGGGGCAGTGGTCTTTTGGGCATGAGTTGTTCAAGTCATAGTAGTCGAAGCACATACGCCATGAGCCATCATGCTTCTTTAACATTACCAGGTTTGCTATCCATGTGGGGAACATTGCTTCCCGGAGAATGCCCGCAGCCACGAGTTTCGAAACTTCTTCATTAATCTCTTTGTTTCAATCACTCGCTTGCCCCCTCTTTTTTTGTTTAATCAGAGCGCTTCCCAGTAAGATGTTAAGGTTGTATTCGATGATCCCTCGGTCTACACCTGTCATATTTGCGGGTTGCCATGTGAAGACCCCGGCGAACCATGTTAGTAGCGCAATTAGTTGGGATTTGGTTTCCACCGATAGGTTAGCTCCGATCTTTATTGCTTGTTCGGGGTGTTCATTATGTAAGAAGTGCTTTTCTAGCGGGTGGTCTTCTTCGCATTTCTTGGCGGTGCTGACCAGGTCTGCCGCCTCCATGATCTGGTGACACGTCCATCTGTACGGGGCATCGACGACGATGGTTGCTGATCCGGTCCTTGTGCCGAATTTGATTGTGTCGTGAATTGTTGACAGCACGGCCTGTAGCTCGTAGAGTGCTGAACACCCTAAAAGTATATTTTGTTCCGCTGGGTGACGGATTACAGAGAATTCGATTGGTCGTGTTTTGTTCTCTCTCCCGTCGTGGCTGACTAACATCAGTGGGAGGTGTATTGTGCCGAGAGGCCAAAAATTATGCCCTGTGAAGCCGACCAGGGATCCACCTGCTGGGGGGCTTCAACTCTTTCTTCCATGACTCTGGTAATTGCCTGAAGCAATGTTTGTATAATATGTCCATGCTATTGTGAAAGAACCCCTTTCTATACTTTCATATTTCTGAAAGACCCAACTTTCATACTTGACAATATAGTTACTCCAAAACATGCTACATGCATATTCATAAAACAATATTTTATATTGATAAAGCGGTTACAAACTATTGGATACAAACCCACTATTTCATAGTGTTATATATTACATAACTTCCCAGGATTCTATAGATTTATACATATGGGAGTGCAAAATACAATAGTCTCAAACTATTCGAAAATCTTCTATCAAAACAATAGTTTCAAACTATTCAAAAATCTTCCATCAGTATATATAACTATACTGGAAGTTTATCTCCTGCAATTTAGTTAAACATTGAGAGGGGTAAGCGGTGACGCTTAGTGAGTTCAATAATAGATACAATATAACGTTATGCGATATATATACTGTAATATGCCAGAAGCTAAGAGGAACAAGGAACAACAAAGGCATAATGCGAAAAGTTTTCCATATTAATCAATGAGACATAACAAATTCCATACTTGATATAAAATCAATAAAGTTTCAGCACAAATGGAACAATAAATACTCAGTAATATCATTTTGCTAGAATATTTAGGCTTTCGGCCTTATCTTAGCATACTACCGAAGCCAAAGTGATGCCT